GTATGTAAATAAGCAAAATGACCCAATCGAGGGAGCTGGTTCTGCCATTGATGGCATGGACGACACACCCGATACAGTTCATCTGAATTGTCGTATTTTCACGTGAATTTGTGCAGGACTGATAAGGTGGGTAAAAGATGAATCTTCAATGTAACGTTCTGACTGTCCATGCACCAATTTGAGTTGAGTCTTGGTCTATAATATAATCATCACATGTCATACTATAAAACAAACATGATAGTGTTGATCTTAACAACAGGAGCCTCTGTGTTCTTCGTGAGATATTTTTTGAAAAGCAATTTGCGTTCGTTATTGTAACATGATTTTCAACAGTTTGACATGGTCAGAGGCTTGTGCACCACGTTTCAGACCGTAACTTAAGTACCTACGAAAATGTTTTAGTTATTTCTTTTCTTTTTTAGTTAATATTAATTTCGCCTCCGTGTCTTTTGTCTTTCCTATTGTTTTGTGTCTCTTTAATATCTGTTTTTGGTCTTTGTTATTGACCTTGAATTCAGATTTCGATTACTGACGATGAAGTACATTCTTTTCTAGATCACGTTCCAGGACGGCTACGTAGCAATTATCTTGGTTTAACAGTTTGATTATTTTGAAAACATATAGTTACACGTATTCCCTGCCTGGTGGAAATTCATGATTCGATAAGGAAATCAACTACAATCTCAATTATTACTAAATAATATGCAATCTAATAATATAAAGGAAGACATATCTTATCAAGTTGAAGTACAGGTAACGTGTAATTAAATTTATTACATACCTTGGTGAATCTGTACATGGTGATAAAGGCCACGCGATAAAAGGTTCTATACAATACCGGACAAGTACACAGATTTCCTGTTTTGGCTGCAACTCTTTTAATAAGTCGAGGTTCTTATATACCGCTTTATCACAACCTAGTTCTTCGGTCGTCTAAAAGCGGTTCACAAATTATTTTCCGTGATTATAGGTACTCATATGTAGGGCCTTTGCAACCAGCCAATATATTTGTCAACTCCCCGAGGAGCATACAGCCGGTGCTGCCATTTCGGCGCTCACAGTTAGCATTCAACAATTTCACCACAGCCCAACCTCGTACTCATTTACAGCTGAGTAGACAGGAACAAGCGGAGTAAAGTATCTTGTTCAAAGACACAACATAGTGCCGTGACGTGAATCGAACCCGCCACCCTTCGGTCACGAGCCCGGCGTCCTTACACTTGACTACCGTTCCTCCTGATTCTTGGTATCCATTGATTAAATCGACGAATTGAAACATGAATGTGTTCAAAACTTTATATTGCCATTCACCGTATGGTCATTGCGTTCACGATATTATTTCGTCCACTATTGTTGTTCGATAACAGAAGCAAATTAAGCAATTATACGATGTAATCATGAGCAAGTTTTACCGAAACACCGCATTTAAAGAACAATTGCAGGTATTTAAAAAAATGAGAATATTGCCCATATTAAATATTTTTACGTAATTATTTATGGCTTATATCTCTGATATATGTCCAAACTCTGAGACACTTCTCACGTCAAACTCTATCTATAAATACTACCGTGTGTATAGGTAACTTGACAGTAGATAACGTATGAGGAGTAGTGAAGTATGGTGAGTAGATCGCCGATAGAGATAAACCGATTTATATGTAGTGTTGTGATGCTGTTAAATAACGGCCATGTCCAACGTCAACGAATTGAGATCATGGATCACAAAGTTAATTCAGTTTGATAAGAAGTCGGTAATTTTCTAACCTAACAATAGACACTATCACTACTATTGCGATATATTAACGTAGTTCAAAAGAGGCAATTCAACGCGATCGACGTCACAACAAGAACTGATCATAAATGTTATGTTACAGCACTGACATGCTTATTTGACAACCAACACTGTAGCTCTACAGTTAAAATGCTAGGGGACCACTATTAGCTATAATTTCTGAAGCAGTATTTAGCGAAACACGTATCATACTACGAATGAAGGCAATTGATACTGTTGAACAACGTTTATGTGATGAGAGCATATGTAATCTGAGCAAATATAACCGACTGCCTATGACGTTGTTTTTTATTTGTTTATTTATTTATCAATTAGTTTATTTATTTATCTATTTAATATTTATTTATGGACCATGCTTGATGTTTACAAACGATACCAGTTCTTTCCATAGTGTAATGATTTTAAGCCAAGCGGCATAAAACAGCGCTTACTTGAACTCAAGATTTCCATTTCCAATACCGCTATTGGTTGAATGTTATTTTGTTTTTCACAGACATCGCCTCCAGGACGGTTTTTGTTCTATAAATATGCATTAAACACACCTTACCTATAGCTGTAGCACAAATCTTGCGGGGCAAATGCATTGCCTTCTGGCCACAACAATGTTGGTTCAATTGTTTCCGGGTTTCTTTTTATGTATTTGTGAATACGCCGTGTATATTCTGCCTGTAACGTATCCGTTGATAAGACAAAGGTCTGTTTTTACAATACATGAACAAATGAGCGTAGACAGTGTTTTTCTAAAGGGCGTATAGACCATTAAAACATCCTAAGGGTTACTCTCTATGTAACTGTATTTAGAGTATCATAAAATCAATGTCTGTGACAAGTATGAAACACATCAAACCGGAAATATCCACAGCACCTCCAGACAATTGAGTTATGAAAGTAAACCTTCATTATATTTAACTATGATGTTTTAGTGACACGGGTTTTGCAGGAAGTACTTATTTTTCCCGGAGCACCTGATTTCGCCTTCGGTTTTTCCGTGGGGGTTGTTGGCATCTTCCTGTTCTTCGTTACTTTTATTCTCTTCTCGTACTGGCTTTTAGATCGGAGTTTGACCTTGTGTGTTGGCCCTATGGTATGTTTTCTTCATAAGTGAAAGGAAATGTTAACAATGTGACTATAGATATGCTTGTGGTGAATATAAAATGATACATCGGACTGATAAGTCTATACATGTGCGGTGATCGGTGAGCTAACACACTGTTCATGTACTGGTGAGTGGACATGTCTGTTTGTTTGATGATATGATCTTGACCAATGGCGAGATGATTACTTTAAATGTTGAGGTTTCGCGTGTTGAAATGTTCTTGTTGTTTCTCTTTTAAACGAATCGCTGTGCGGAGATTTTCGTGTTGTCAATGGTTCTTAAGTCTGTACATTCTACAAATCTATGAAATTCTTATACATAATATTCACATGTGGATATTTTCGCGCTTATTCCCTCAACGCGAAAAACGCGAGAATTGTTTTCATTTTCTGTAGCGGCGTTCGGTGGGTAGTTATATCTGCAGGACGGTTGAGTTAATATCTGTTTTTATTTATAGATAAGTTAATGTGTGTATCCTAATATTGGTGAGTGGATAAGTTTGCGGTGCTTGTTGAACAGACATATTCCCTTTGAAAAGTGATTTGATGAGTGGATACATTTCGTTTACTTGAAGCGGGTCTGTTATCTATGATTGGTGAGTGGACATGGTTGTGATATTTGTTGAGCGTTGATATATGAGAACTAACATACGACCAAGTGACCGAATCATAGGGTTACACAATATCTGTATACGTTATAACTGTCCCTGAACATTAAGGTAGATGTTAACTGTTGAATTATCGTTTACTTGTCGTTTAATGTTATTTATGCTTTTCATCGATAAAAAAAAACATTATAAAATGCTTTGATAACCGTCAATATATTTATCAAAGTAATATATCAAGTGATCAGTGTGCAAACACTTTTCTGTATTTCTCCGGGAATTAAAGATCCATCAGAAATCTTCGGGGAAAAATATATAATTGGCTGACACTCCATTAGCATTATAAGATTGAATAATTCGTTCATACGTCTAACAGCTTTTGATTAGTGTTTTTGTTTTGACCACTACGGTGGTTGGGTGGTGCAGTGGAAAGCGCACTCGCCTTTCACCAAGGCGACTTGGTTTCGATTCCCCGATCGGACGTGAAAAGGTATATGGTAACCTGCCCGACCACGTGGGTTTTCCCCGGGTACTCCGGTTTCCTACTACATTAAGACCCTACGCGCGCTTACATCCGGGCCAACAAGAGTGATTGATATAAGTTGAAATAGCTTGTTTCATAATTGTTGTAAAATAAAATAAAATTAGTGTTTTTGTTTCTGTTGTATTCGTGATGACTGGTAATATATAGAAGTTACCTGTATTTGCTGTACCCAATGCAATCGATATATCGTCTTATTTTATTTTTTTTGCTATTGTTTTTCAGTAAGCTTGAGAACATCGATGTTTATTTCATTGTGTAGTTGTGCAAGAGCTGAACGAACGAGCTTCGTTTTATAGGTCGACAGAAAACGAGCATCAATTATTTGTTTCAGTAATACAGGATATGGACTAGATTCGTATAATAGCAAAATAAATTTAACTTAATAAAAAAATAAAAACATGATATCCTGCGATTAGTTCTGTTTTTTACATTAAATTACAACCTTGTTTGCTTCTCTGGTTATATTTCATGGTAATTACCGAGAAAAGACGAGAGGCGCCAACGCCATCTTGCGGTTTTTATTACAAGTTTGAATAAACGACGTAGAACATTTTAATTTCCATATATCAAATTATGTGATGAAATTTCCTGCTATCGGTTTTGATTTATTGTTTTGAATAGCAACATAGAGACTAACTCGTACCCAAAAAGACTTTTTTTTAAATTGTTGTTCTAGCATTTTCTCAATTAACAGGACGCCACATAATTGCATACGGTATTGTTTTTGTATTATTTATCTAATTTGTCAGAAAATGTATTGGTCCTTGGCACAATTTTCAGATGCACTAAAGGATTGAGAAACTTCTTGTGATATTTTTTAATATTCTTATTTAATTATCTTGCTCCCTTTGTTTTGTTTATCTTTTAAAACGACTTCTGTACGTTAATGGACCAATTCAATGTCTTCAATACATCAATCATTCACCCAACAAATCTCTATAAAATGCTTGTTTTGTTTGGACAGCTCACCTAATCCTATGGGATGTTGCCACTTCCGAACCTGAACACACTACTCTATGTCTGTCTTGCCTGCCTCTTTCTCGTGGTGCTGGACGCCAGTCCGGTGAGAACCCTCACCAAGCAGGACGTGGAGGCACGAATACTGGATGCAATCACAAAAGATTTCCAAAGAAATCTAGCAAACTACGAAACAGACTATTCTAAGCCATTCCGACATATATGGAAAGACAGTGGTAAGTTTATTTTACCCTTCCCATTTATTGATAAATAAGATATTTAGGATTTTATGTGTACAATTAATACAGGCAAATATAAAATTTGACAAATAACTAAGGCAGAATAGCGTAGTTTTCTTTATGCGTTTACAATATAGCAAACTTCACAGCTGTTCAAGTATTACCTTATGTTTGTGCTTTGTTACCTTTTAAAAAAACAAAAAAAAACACGTGTTGAGTAAAACGCCTAAAAGATCTATGCAATTTCTGAGACGGAACTAAAAGGCCACCTACTGTGTCGGAATCAACGTGACCTGGTTTGTTTCACTGTTCTCATTCTGTTCCGTCTACATACTGTGTTAATGTCTTCAAAGCCTTTCGAGTCATAAACACGTCTGCGCAACATATCAGTACTATATTTGTTCTTATTTCTATTCATTATATTTAAAAAAAAAAAATAATAATAATAATAATAATAATAATATCAAACTGTTAGTTCTCATTTTTGAGACAGTCATCATTGGTAATATTTAAAATGCAAACATTTGGTGGTTTTTGTTTTTGCAGATAACGAAGAAATGTCTAAACATCGTGTTAAGAGAATAGGTGAGTACTGTTTTCTTTATGCATCAACAGAGGTTATTTTAATGTAGCCAAGAGAGAAAGCTTTGTGTAAATCTTGTGGATGCAGCCAGGAATATCGCTTTTAATAAAATCTCCCTTGAATAAATATCTATTGAGTATGACACTATGTTACATATTACATGTTAATCATTTTGTGGTTTTTTAATGTCCGCTATTTGTCACCTCTACAATAAAACAGAAAAAAAAGTCAAGTATGTTATTCTTTTCGACGCAATTAGGAGTGAACCTCTTACCACTTTGTACCATTCTTTTGAAATATAGATTTTGCCGAAAGAGACAATGTAAAAGTATTGCCTTCTAAAGGTCAGATTATCTAAAGGTCAGATCATCTAAAGAAATTCCAATCAAATTAGTTTTAATTTACTTGTTGTTTCAGCGCCATTCAGTAATACAAGGACTTGTTAAATGCATACATGTATCACAACTGACGCTCTATTCCATATCATTATCTTATACAGATTACAAATGAAGTGTTATTTTATATGCTGATCTAAGTAATATTTCAAGATAAAAACATCCGGAAAGAAAACGAGAAGGTCCGAAAAACATAGAGTTTCCAGTACGAAATGTCATATGTAAGCGTTAAAATAGTCCACAGTGAGCAGATACTGATATGAAATTATAGCAATTCAGCTCAGGGTGCGTCTCAGAGTACATCGAATCTCCTCTGTTAGAACACCCTGGTTATGTATCTTAAATGTGGACAGTGCATATTAAATCGAAAAATCCTGATATTTAGATCAGACTACAGATTAACGATTTAACTGCAATATATATATAAGAGTGAATGATACAAAATATACGAGTCAGTTGTGATATAACAGCAGTTTTAAAAAGAAATGACGAAATATTTGTCAAAATACAAGTCGGAAAATGACTGATCAATCTTTAACTATCCTCATTAACACATTCTCATTTATATCCGTGAATCAAATGGAGTTAATGTATCGCGCTCAAACATTTAACATTTACAAGATATATAGTAATGTAAGTTCTCGGCACACTTATGCCACTTTATATGACATACTTAACGTTCACAATTAGGTTTAGTCTTGTAATGAAATATCAAAACGTTCAAACGACGTCGTTAGCAAAGCAATTAAATTCGATCTTCCATCGCTGCAAATTACACAATTCCGTTTATTTCTTGAGTTATCTGCGTATATGTATGAATGTTAGGAGCCTAGTTGATATGCCGTTATCAATCTACCGTAAGATTAATGTATTACAAGAACATATTACCTAGTAATGGATTTCTCAATGTAAACACAAATACATTTCAGGTTAAATATCTGTTACTAAAAAGTCAAGAAATTATACTAGTAACTCCTACGTTTCCCGGTCCTAACTGCAATGCTACAACGCTATGTGTTGGGATGAGGTAGCTAACGTCAATGCTACAATGCTGTGTGTTTAGTTGAGGTAGCTAACGTAAATGCTACAATGATGTGTGTTGGGCTGAGGTAGCTAACGTCAATGCTTCAATGCTGTTTGTTGGGTTGAGGTAGCTAACGTCAATGCTACAATGCTGTGTGTTGGGTTGAGGTAGCTAACGTCAAGGCTATAATGATGTGTGTTGGGTTGAGGTAGCTAACGTCAATGCTAAAATGCTGTGTATTGGGTTGAGGTAGCTTACGTCAATGCTGCAATGCTGTTTGTTGGGTTGAGGTAGCTAAGGTCAATGCTACAATGCTGTTTGTTAGATTGGGGTAGCTAACGTCAATGCTACAATGTTGCGTGTTGGGTTGAGGTAGCTAACGTCAATGCTACAATGCTGTGTGTTTAGTTGAGGTAGCAAACGTCAATGCTACCATGATGTGTGTTGGGTTGAGATTGCTAACGTCAATGCTACAATGTTGTGTGTTGGGTTGAGGTAGCTAACGTCAATGCTACAAGTTGTGTGTTGGGTTGAGGTAGCTAACGTCAATGTTACAATGCTGTGTGTTGGATTGGGGTAGCTAACGGCAATGCTACAATGTTGCGTGTTGGGTTGAGGTAGCTTACGTCAATGCTACAATGCTGTGTGTTGGGTTGAGGTCGCTAACGTCAATGCTACCATGTTGTGTGTTGGGTTGAGATTGCTAACGTCAATGCTACAATGCTGTGTGTTGGGTTGAGGTAGCTAACGTCAATGCTGCTATGATGTGTGTTGGGTTGAGATTGCTAACGTCAATGCTACAATGCTGTGTGTTGGGTTGAGGTAGCTTACGTCAATGCTACAATGCTGTGTGTTGGGTTTGGGTAGCTAATATCTATGCTACAATGATGTGTGTTGGGTTTGGGTAGCTAACGTCAATGCTACAATGCTGTGTGTTTAGTTGAGGTAGCAAACGTCAATGCTACCATGATGTGTGTTGGGTTGAGATTGCTAACGTCACTGCTACAATGCTGTGTGTTGGGTTTGAGTAGCTAATATCTATGCTACAATGATGTGTGTTGTGTTTGGGAAGCTAACGTCAATGCTACAATTATGTGTATTGGGTTGAGGTAGCTAACGTCAAGGCAACAATGCTGTTTGTTGGGGTGACGTAGCTAACGTCAATGCTACAATGCTGTGTGTTGGGTTTGGGTAGCTAATATCTATGCTACAATGATGTGTGTTGTGTTTGGGTAGCTAACGTCAATGCTACAATGCTGTGTGTTTAGTTGAGGTAGCTAACGCCAATGCTACAATGATGTGGGTTGGGTTGAGGTAGCTAACGTCAATGCTACAATGTTGTGTGTTTAGTTGAGGTAGCTAACATTAATGCTACAATGATGTGTGTTGGGTTGAGGTAGCTAACATCAATGCTACAATGATGTGTGTTGGGTTGAGGTAGCTAACGTCAATTCTACAATGCTGTGTGTTTCGTTGAGGTAGCTAACGTCAATGCTACAATGATATGTTTTGGGTTGAGGTAGCTAACGTCAATGCTACAATGCTGTGTGTTTGGTTGAGGTAGCTAACGTTAATGCTACAATGCTGTGTGTTGGGTTGAGGTAGCTAACGTCAATTCTACAATGCTGTGTGTTTAGTTGAGGTAGCTAACGTCAATGCTACAATGATATGTGTTGGGTTGAGGTAGCTAACATCAGTGCTACAATGCTGTGTGTTGGGTTGAGGTAGCTAACGTCAATGCTACAATGATGTAAGTTGGGTTGAGGTAGCTAACGTCAATGCTACAATGCTGCGTGTTGGGTTAAGGTAGCTAACATCAATGCTACAGACCTGTGTGTTGGGTTGAGGTAGCTAACGTCAATGCTACAATGCTGTGTGTTGGGTTGAGGTAGCTAACGTCAATGCTACAATGCTGCGTGTTGGGTTGAGGTAGCTAACATCAATGCTACAATGCTGTGTGTTGGGTTGAGGTAGGTAACGTCAATGCTACAATGCTGTGTGTTGGGTTGAGGGAGCTAACGTCAATGCTACAATGCTGTGTGTTGGGTTGGGGTAGCTAACGTCAATGCTACAATGCTGTGTGTTTAGTTGAGGTAGCTAACGTCAATGCTACAATGATATGTGTTGGGTTGAGGTAGCTAACATCAATGCTACAATGCTGTGTGTTGGGTTGAGGTAGTTAACGTCAATGCTACAATGCTGTGTGTTGGGTTGGGGTAGCTAACGTCAATGCTACCATGCTGTGTGTTGGGTTGAGGTAGCTAACGTCAATTCTACAATGCTGTGTGTTTAGTTGAGGTAGCTAACGTCAATGCTACAATGATATGTTTTGGGTTGAGGTAGCTAACGCCAATGCTACAATGCTGTGTGTTGGGTTGAGGTAGCTAACGTCACTGCCACAATGATGTAAGTTGGGTTAAAGGAATTAACATGTGTGATATAGTGCTGTATCAATGAAGTGCTATGTGAGACACTTTATGAGGACATGATCAGGTCTAACATTAGCCAGATTATACACCACTGTTTAGTGGGTATCAGAGAACACTGAAAGTCTCAAAATAAAGCTGCGCTCAGCCTAGTGCGCAGTTGATAACTTTATGGATAGTGGGGACACATTGAAACCGCTCGATACAGCATTGTTGGAAAGTAACACAAAAGCCGGTTGTAATGGAAAACATTATCACCCAACCTAATCAGTACCAAGCATATATAAGTATTTTATTACAGCTAAGAGTCCCTAATATCTCCTCCTTTATGCAATTACCATGTGTTTAGAACACAGATTCTAGCATAAATCTAATAGAACCACGGCGAGAATAGTATCACCTAGTGAAGAACTGTGCTGGGGAGTATTAAACATGATGTTGGATACCTTTTTAATGCGATTAGCCCTGTACATAATGTGTGTAAAATATATCACCATATTATTGGCAAATCATAATTCTGACACCACTACTAAACAAAACCTTATTATTTCAATGAACATCCATCCCCTTATAAAAAAAATCGTTATTCTAAGTAAAAATTAAACACAGGAACCGAGGAGACATTAACACACAAAGGTAAACATTATTATACGAGGAAAATACGCAGAGAGAAATAAATGTGATCATCAATGGTAATCGCTTTTAGTGCCATATGGGACACCCATCCTGATCCAGAATTTTGTCAGCCACCTGAAAACATTGGATTCTAATATCAAAGAACGGCTCCCATGCAGATTGATTCTGACGCTGACCGCTCGTGCTTACATTACAATAGCAGTCCCGTTTTGTAGAGGATGTAGAGTTTTCACAACATAACAGAGCCAGCGTGTGTGTAGCAGGACTTTAGTACTCATTAAACAAACAAAAATATGAGCTTGATGCGTCAAACGAGGGAATGAGTTACCGGAACATCTGACTCAATCATATCGTCGTGCGAATGGCGAATTTGGCGTTCTGGAAATCAGGAAAGGAAATGCATCCAAAAACAATTTGTCACAAGGATACACTACATAAGAACTAATATCCCAGTTAGAGCCTGCATCACCCACATCGTCGGAACACGGCTAACGTAACAGATAAATCGTGACAGAGAGCCA